GTTCACTCTATTACTATAAAAACTTCATGAAACTGTTACCATGTTGAACATGGTATTTAAGTAGTCTACATTTGTGTTGCCAGGCTATGATCACTAGTATTTCCTGCCAGAACAAACTGTCATTTATTAATCTGAAATGAGAGTTGTGTTTTTATGTTGACAGTTTCTGGTACCAAATGTGGGTCCCAAGGCTGATTTGCATTCATAGGAGAAGTCACCCAGATTGGTGACAAGAACTGTGGGGGCAAATGGAAATTTACTAATCATAAGATAGTTGTGAGAACCCTGAGTGGAAAGCCCCCAGGATAAGATAGGAAGAAATAAGAAAAGAACCAGGAAGGCAAACAGGAATCTGCCCCTGCCCCCTGCAGTTTATTACAGGCTACCCACCATTGAAATATTAGTTTGCCAATTTGCTACAATTCTTGTGATCTTTTGCAACCATGTGCTTATGTATAACTGTTTTAACTACCTTGTGTGTGCTTCTAGAATGCCCTTCTTGCTTGCTTACTATAAAGTGTCCTCCAAAGTTAAGTTTGTGGCTGGTACTCTTATGGAATAATCCAAGTGTCAGCCCACTTGCATAAATAAACTCTCTCCTTCATCTGGACTGGCTATTGGTTTCCCGATTTCCAAAAGTTCCTGCAACAGAACCATCATGGGCCCCTTGTGTTCACCAATCTGGCATTGTCTCTTCTGGTAGATGTTGGTGATTTCTATCTGGGGCTTGGACTACTTTTGGTTTGGTTGACAATCCACTGGTTTGTACTGAGATGCTTGTTAGGATCCTGTTTGTTTGAATCTTCAGTTGTTTGTTTGAGAACAATTGGTTTTACGGCCTCCATTTGGTTTAAGGGCATTCAGTTTATTTCTGTTTTTGTCTGCTTTCAGAATGTTCACATTGTGAATTACCAGCACTGAGCTTTTCTCCTACCACTCCAGCATCTAATGCTGCATTTTCCTGTGGTCCCTCCTTATTGCAACCTTGCTGCCTTTAGTTTAGGAATTCTATGAGTACCTGATCTTTACAAGAGGCACCTGTTCTCTAGACCAACAAGGTAGAGGTTTGAGGGAAACACTCCATAATATGTAAATGCCTCATAGGGAAGCCAACAAAACATATTCCATTTCTGGAATAGAGGAATCCTACTGGCTCTGTTGGTAAGACATAGCTCGAGTGAGAGCTAAGGGAACTACTCTCAAAAGCAGAGCATAAATCTGATCTGAAACACAGATCCCCAGCTAACACAGAGAGATTGAAATTTTGGGGAGAAAATGGGAAATATAGATTCAAGGAAGAAGGAAATGTTTGGAGAAAAATGGTTACTTGGTACTCCAGTTGGTTTTATGTTGGATAATTGTGTTAAACATAAAAGTATGTTGAAAAAAAGGAAATCTAACTAACGATAACTTGGTTTTATGCTTCTCTCCAGTGGAAAACATTTGATCCTACATTGGCTCTTGTGTGTGTTTGTGTGTGTGTGTATGTGTGTGTGTACACACTAGAGTTCTAGGCAACAGAATTAAGATCATAAATGGGCAGTTTGTTTGATTGGAATTAAAAAAAATAAAAAGTATAAAATATGCAATTTACAAAAAAATAAGGGTTTTAGGAGCTACAACAAAATTAAGACGTTTAAAATGTATGGGAAATTAACAAGAAAATTTCAGAGATTGTGTTAGAATCAAAGACAAATTCTGAGAGATCTAAATATTCTCACCCAACTTACTGTTAACTGTCCTCTGACCTTACCTTTTTCATCCTCAAGCAGAACAAAATTCTGTATGAAGTAAAGGCTGTCGTTTTTGCCACCCATTCTACTGACTGGGGTCCTAAACACAGCTCTCTCTCTCTCTCTCTCTCTCTCTCTCTCTCTCTCTCTCTCTCTCTCTCCTGATTAGGTCTTACTTAGAAAAAGATAGTGATATAATTCAATATAACAACCTTTTAGCTTTGATCTTTGTCCTTTCACTAGGCCTTTCTTGCATCTCAAAGATATAGAGATGTGACTTTTTTATTTTGTTTCTATTAAAAAGTATACTCTATTTACTTTTCTAAAAAAGTTATTCATTTAATAACCACATAATTAGAAGAAGCATTTCATTACAGCATTAACATATTCAATAACAATTCCCAGAGCAAATATGTATCTCTTTCAAATTTTGCTGTAAATTTTTAGGTTCACAGTTGAATTAATACAGTTATACAATATTGAACTCAGTATGAACCCTATAAGACATAAAATTGAATGAGGTTTTAGCCTTTATAAAAGATCTCCATTTCATTTTAAAATATATTTTTTCATACAGAGAAACTCATTTTTAATGCTACTAACACTTAGATGTTTGCACATTCTATTTACATTAATTGTTTTTATGTGGGGCAAACAGTGCAGCCCCTATAATTCCTTAAAATAACTAACATAAATCTGTGACTGTTTCATTTTACATTTTTCAAACTTGTACAATGAATTTACTATTTTTGGTATGTGTGCATAAATGTAAACAATTTCAGAGTATTTTGACTACTACTGTCCCTTTTGAAAAACAGATTTTTTCAAAGCCCTGATCTTGACCAAACCTAGCAAGAATAAAATAAAATATTTGGAATTAGGAGGTTGGGAAATGGTCATTTAAAAACCAAGCTGTTAATGCCTACTCAACTGCTTCGAAGTTTACAAAAGTCATCATGCATGCAGATGATTTTGATGTGTTTCATTTCATCATGAACATAATTCAGAATCATTTCTTTTTATAATGTATTTAGGAAAATTAATTACTCATACTTTATGTAGAATATCCATTAAATGTGTAGCATGTTACTGCAAAAGTAAATAGGTGACTCAGAATTAAAGGAGATAAAAATTAAGATGGACACAAAAATGCCTGACTTTGATTCTGTCTTTTATTTGCTTTGTAGACCCAAATGAAAGGTTAATGCTGTTAAGATATTAAAACAGTTTCTAAATTCATGTTACAATATGACTTAAACTTTTAATATACAGTTAATTTAAATTGTTGGTAAGAAAAAATAAAACATCTCTAAGACTGTTAACATGTTTTACCTGTATTTGTAAGTATTAGATATTTAAGATACAATGTGAATGTTTTCTATTTCAGATACAGTTCCCTCAATTTTCATTTAGAATACAATTACATGAACTTTTTAAAGAAAAGAAGATAAAAAGCAACTGTCAAGTAAGAATAACTTATTGACATAAAATATATTTTTGGTTAAAAAAATGTTAA